CTTTGCCGTGATTTTACTTTGAATATATCTTTACGCATTCAAAAAAGAACAATCGCTATAAGGAAAAACCTACAAAGCTGATCATCTTTGTATTTCTCTCTGAAGTCTATAACGCGGGAACGTCACACTATGGTACGAAAAAAATCCTGATTGTTGAGGTTTCTTCTTTCCAACGATGTTACACTCATCATCATTGGTTGAATATATACGTCGCGTTTTTTTTGTTGAAAATTGTAGTCCAGTTACAATTTTTGATTTGGTGAGCTCTTTTATGAGATACAGAAGTGTATAACGCTTCACAATAAATTATCTTACAACCAAACAATATGAACGAAGATTTGCTCCGAGGGTTCCTACCTTAGCTTTTTCTTCACGCTCATTGTTCATCACAGCAACGTGCACATCCCCATTGCTCCATTGAACAAAGAAGGGCTTGTCATCTCCAATTTTGTGTGCACCTCGTAGCCTTACAGAATTTGAAAGCTCCTAGAAAAAAAGAAAGATTTTTTTTTTTTTAATTAAATAGCATCCGAGATACGGTATGTATGTCAAATGGAAGAACACCAATAGTTGACCTACTATTAAGTTGCCAAAATGTCTGAGATATCAATTGTTATGTGATATATTAAATATTATTGTTATTATAGTAAATATTACTGTTGAGCAGAGACCATATGGGAGGAGAGCTCGCAAAATACGTCACACAATTGCCAATTAGCGTTTGATAGATCGCAACTTCAAGATATCGTAAGTTTCTTAATTTGAATCGGAATGTGTTCTAACTTTCATTGACCCGTTCCTCAACTAAAACTCAGGGTTGATTTTCCCTTCTCAAGTGGCAACTGTACGTTTTGCGTAAAGGCATTTGGTGTCATTTTCAGCTTCACGAACAGATTTAACGATTAACGTAGCAATTTCGTATTTAGATATCACAATAGTCTTTTGAACTATATAAACATAATATCTTATTTGACATGATTAAACACACTAATAAATGTCGGCGATGTAAATAGCGCTTTATAAACCGTAATTATAGTTATTGTTATCATTATTATCAGCAGTAGTATTATTTTTTCTTTCTTTTCTTATGATTGGTATTCTTAACATTATTGTAATTATTTCAATCGTTATTGTTTTCTTTGTTTTTATTATAAATATCAGTATTAATATTATTATTATCATTTTCACCATCATTGTTATAATCATTATCCCTCACAAAAAGGCACTATACTCTGAATAACAAGCATTTCGTTGTTTCACATAACGCCGAAACGATATTTACAAATTCATAATAATCCTTTTTACTTTTTCTACACCCTTTACATCAATCGCCAAATATAAACGCAGGTCAGCAGAATGAACAGATGCTTTATTTGAGTAAGGAATGCACATCATTTGTTTTCCTGTCGACGATTTGAAGAAAGTAAACCAGGAGCAGAACTCGTCGATGTGTAACTCGAGCTCCTTTTCCCGAACAGTGCATGCAGGGATCTCGGCCAAGTCCCCTGCAGTTACCTCCTTTGACGTGAGTTCGCCTCCTTTAAGTTAAAGTAATGTTAACATTAAAATAATGATATTAATAATAATTATAGTAATACTAATATAGTAACAATAATAGCAATCATATAACAACACATTAATAACAGTAATACTATTTATAAAAAATAATGATAACAATAATAATAATATTAATTGAATAGATGGAACAGAATGCAACAATAATATATATATTTAAACAACTGAATAAGTTATACAATAAATGCATACTTTACGACATATATATACATATTATAAATCATTAATCAATCAATTTATAAATTAAACACTCTGTGTTTTGTTTACCTCTTAGAGTGATTTTTTGTATTTTTGGCAGTTTATTAATTACAACAAAACGGTGTTTCAATCTGCATATCAACATTTACTGAGGAAAACCATAAGGAATCGACAAAAAAGAAGTATGGGCACACCATGGACTGTATTTTAAAACATTTGGAAGAAATATATGTTGAATCAACACCATGCGAGGTGGTGATGGTGATCAGATGGTGATATCAAGAAACGTTGAAGAGAAGTAGAGTTTAAGTAAAAGTGCAAATATATATGAGGAACTTCCTACTTGGTGTCAGGTTAGTTTTGCAAAGAATATCAAAGAATATATGTCCCCAGAAGATAACCGTTTTTCACCTGCCCTCATATTTGTAAGTTATAACCAAATAATTTCTGAACAAAATTGAATACAAAATGTGCAATATATGTCTGCACAGTGTTAGTTCAGTGTGCCGTTTTCTCCAAAATTGAGTCAATTTCTCGTTTATTAGATTATTTAAGAACCTCAAAGTACACACCAATTCTTTGCTGTCTCTCTGAGGCTCATCTGGACCGTCCGTGGTATCTACTAGAACTCACACGCGGTCTCATATGAAGATATAAATGGTAAAGCTAACCTGAATTGTAACCTGTTACGGATGTATTTATTAAAAAAAACACCATTCTTTATATTTATCGCTTTCGCTAAATCACTTCTCAAAAGGATAAGTTCACCGGTGGCATCTAATTCAGAGGTTAAAGTGTAGCTTGACAATGAGTTGAGATTTATTATTAGGGTTATGTGTTCGCGGAGACATGTTGGACGGTGCCGAGAAGCCTCACAGAGACAAGGAATCGTGACCACTCGATTTGGTGAAGCTGATAAACCAATTTTTTGTCCGATTCCTCCATCACAGTTTTTTTGACAATTTTACGATTCTTTGCAATGAGACAACAAATTATTGAACGAATTTTCTTACAATATTTTTCTGATAAAAACTATTAAGACAACCATTAGCACCATAGTTATGTATTGTCTTTGATTGATTTTTTAAACTATTATTTCTGCAACATTTATAACAAAGTGTGTATTGTTTGATTACGTAATAAACAATACGCATATTTTGAGTATTCTATATCATTTTGTTTTTGGTCTGTCCATTTCATACAGCAGTCTCGTAGCTATTCACTCAAAGAAACCTAAGAATGATCATACCTCTGAAATGGTGAAGTACTACTTTAACATCCGGAGTGTCGACAACACTGGCACAATGAGGCAATTTTATTTGAACAGGACGCTTAAACTTTAAGCCCCCAGGTTTGAGTTCAACGCCAAAACTTTCAATCATCTCTTCGCCCTGAATGCCCGGAACTGGACAAGTTTCGAGTAGTCTCATAGATATATCTTGGTCTTTGTCAAGTGCACCTGCTGGTATAGCCAAGTGGACGCCATACCGGCTGAGATTTATCTCTCCCCCTTCCGGACCAATAACTCGTTGCACTGTTCGCGTTATTCTTGTTGATTCAACATCCAATTCTGCAATAAAATTCAATATTTGTACAAGAATGAATAAAATTATCGCATTATTCTACATGCAGATATTGTATGTCATTGTAGTTGCGAATGGCAAAAGGAACCCAATATTATTAACCTTACTAGGTCAATCTTTGCCGAGCTGCCTAAGTAACTATCGCTCAAGCATATCAGGTACCCATTTGAAAATAATTGTGTGGAGAGTGGAAAAATATTGTTTTAGGTATATCCAAAGGACGTTAGCGCCTGGCTGGGATTTGAAACCCGAACGTTGTGATCTACAGTCCAACAACTTATCCACCAGACCCAACACGTGTACTTTTCCCTGACTCATTGTGTCAAGTTTCGTTCAGCTGGCAATGAAATGTGCACATCAATCTATAGTTTCAACTCGTATCAATTAAATTCAATTATCATTTTGTTCTTTACGATATACAGATTATACACACCCAAGACTGAAAACACACCAAAAAGCATTATGTAATTTTTAGAAAAACATATCCTTTCCATTAAGGCATCCCTTTGGTAGTATCGAACACGAAATTTATGAGCCCATAATATATTAGACAACAATTATTGATTTGCAAAATTTTGGGAAAATTAGTGTATTCTATACATAAATCATGTATTGTAGAGCATCCCCAGAACATTTTTCCTTTTTAACATAAAATGGTGATGACGTTTAAAACGGAATGACTGATTACACAATTACTTATGAAGAAATTTTGATAAAAATATATTACCATCCAATAAATCATTGCGCTTCTCTTCCGGTATTCTATTTTTTTTAAGAGAGAGAGAAAGAAACAAAAACAATTGATTAATATTTCAATTGAATGTAATTGAATACGCATGTGTATGTCGTGGATATTACGACCATGTTATTCAAACTTAATTAAAGACGGTAAATACCATATAGTATGAGTCAACTTATACAAATGCCTTCACGTTATTTAGTTTTTCTTCAATTGGAACACTCATGGTTGTTTATGTATGATTATTTTTTCACAAACGCTTTAAATTGTTCCAACGACCGACAAATATTTGCTCTTGAAGTAAAGGATTCTGTGTGGCTATACTGTGTCGAAATGAACATCAAATATTACTTCTACAAAGATATAATGCTGTTCAATACATTCTCAATGAGCAATACAATGTCGTGTTGAGTAGAGGCTAGTGCACGCGTACTCACTCATGGATGAATAGGGTACGTATATTAGGACTTTACGTATGACCTGGGTTCTCTGCGAGCCCTATTCGCGGGATGTTATGATACACTTTATTTTCTTCATACTCCTTCACCGTTTACCTCTGTTTTGCCTTCTGATCTTATTTCGTTTGTTGTTGTTTGGGGGGGGGGGGGTCTCATTTGTGTTCCTTCATTATTGTTTTTAAATTATTGTTATTATTATTATTATTATTATTATTATTATCATTATTATTATTATTATTATTATTATTATTATTATTATTGTTATTATTATTGTTATTAATCGTGTTATTATGATTATTATTATCACTATTATTTTATTTATTTATTTACTTATTATCATTATTAATATTATTATTGTATATATATATATATATATATATATATATATATATTAAACATTCTAGCTGTACAATTGTTCAATTAATAGGTACACCTTTCATTAATTACCTTGATACAACAAGCTGCCAGAGTCTTCGTGTGTTTGTGCAATGTATCGGTGTGTCACCACTCGCGTCAAACGTTGTACATATGGCTCCCTTGTCGAGGAGGTAGAGAAGAAGCTTCTCGTTATCGGCGAGCGGCTCGTACTGAGGATATCTTGATACAACCTAACGTACAAAAAACATGAGATGATTGTCATTTTAAATAGGTGCATGATGGTTTTACACACAATACGCACAGATATTTTTTTTTTTCATTTACGTACCCGTAATGTATCATATTAAAACTGTTTTTGTTTGATTGTTATTATTATTAATTGTGTATATTTTGATGTTTGTTTATAATTATCCTCGGTAGACTTTTGGTTCAAAGATTGAAAGAGAATTCATAAATATTAGTTAAATTAGTAAAATATGTTGAAACTGTCACAAAGAGTTCATTTGATTTATTCCCGTTTCAATTATGAGCCTGGCTTACTTAAAAAGAGGGGAATGAAGGAAAAAAAAGTATATCATACAGCATTATCAAACTAAATCCTTTTATATGACACTTTCGGTTAATACATTCTTTTTTTAATACTATTTAATAGGAATAATATCTTACCGGCTCAAAACCTTTTGTGGTCTGGACCTTTTTGTCAGGATGTTCAGGACTACCCCACAATGTTACAACAAGATGCAGACAGGTTTTTCCGTCATTGCATTGGATGTTCAAATCTGCTCCGGCTTCGATCAAGGCCTCTATAACAGGAGAAAATCCACCTTCTATGGCCAGATGCAGTGGTGTCTTTCCCTGACAGTCTTGTTCGTCTATGAGAGGGCAGCTCTGCGATCGGTTCAAATACATGAAAACATTAACATAAACAATGTAAACGATGTAGGTGTGGCATAAGCAATCAGAGTCCACGATGATAATATGAAATAAACACTTCCTTCATTTGATGTAGGCCGAAACAGTAGAGTATCTATGGATTGTAGAGCCATGGGTAAAATACTGCACCTTCGCCCCTCAACCAACGTTTAACCCTCTTAAATTCATTTCCCATACATTTCATCCGGAAGAAATAAATGTAAACAATACAACAACAAGTGAGCAATGCATTCGTAAAGTAGCATTCACATTTTGAACATTGATTCTGGTTTAACTAATTCAACAAGAGGGGCGCAAAATCAACAGAAACCAATGAGAAATATTGTCGATGGTTTAAAGAGACACCCACAGATTAAGTTTCCTTTCATATATGGAACATTTTCGAATGCAATTTTACACGCTTTGTCGGGGGGGGGGGGGAATAACTTTTTGAAAATCTAAGAAACAGGAAGTAAAATAACTACATTTTTTCATCTCTCTCTCCCTCTCTTTCTCTTTCTCTCTCTCTCTCTTTTTGTTTTAGAATCTGTTATCAACGCTATTGCTTAGCTATCTTCTATAATTGAAAGCGAAATTACGCGATTATGAATCAACAAATAAGAATGAGCGAAATTGGCGACCAAAACCTAATTTTGAATGTAATTTACCCATCCACCAAATTAATAAAAGTCTAAACATAATGACCTTTTCCCTACTTGTTCCTTCTGATACCATTTTGTATGTATATATATTTCGTTTATGCCCCTCCAATCACCCCTTTATCGCACAACATCTACATGATACTAATGGCGCGTATCCCGCTGCATCATTGTATACAATGAATTAGGAGACTAGTTCCGACACAAGCTACACCCATTTATGAGAAAATTATACATTTATTCGGTTACTGACTTTAAGTGACGTTTCGTCCTGTCTTAATGGTATAACATGAGACAATACGATAGTAGAGCAATGTGTGCAGCTCATGCTAACTGCAAAGAAAATACCATCTGGATTGGATTCGTTTAAATGCAAACTTTATATTTCGTCGGCCTTATGCCAAAAGGGCCTTAACTGCTTTTGGCCATTCCGAGATAATCGCGTTTAAAGGTTTTGGCCTCTCTAATAATAAAAAGTTTGTGGTCGTTTTTTTGTTTTTGAAGCCAATTTCGATAAATATGTTAAGTTATTAAGTTTTACATGAAATGTGTTAAATGTGTTATAGAATATTCATAATTGTACATGCATTGTGCCCAAAAGGGGCGTAACCTACGCGTCGTTATGCCAAAAGGGCGCGCATAGTACGCGCGCATAGTTAGCGCCCTTCTGGCATAAGGAAATTTTCTTGTTTCGCAACACCTTTGGTTTGCCAGAAAGGCCCTCCTACGGCTATTGGATCACGAAAACTGATAAAACTGGTTAATTAAAATGTTTGAAAACGTATTTTTGATATCTGAATATTTTTATTAATATAATGCAGCTTTCGGTAAATTTATTTTTTAGAGATCGTACATTTATAACACCTTTTTTGTTGTTTATTTTTCATCGCAGTCCCATACGTTGACATCTGCGTATTTCAACGAGTTGGTCGCATTTCATGCATCCATACCTAATTTAAATCTCACTCAGATTATATGATCTAAATTCATGACATATACTTTCAGTGATTATTTTAAGTACATTGTGTGTATTCTAGACTAATCATGTTTTTAATGGTGTTTCTACTGATATTTATTGAATTAAATGGAAATTACGAAATAATCTGTCATTAATAAAAGATTTGCCGTGTAGGTTAAGGCCCTTTTGGCGTAAGGAAAAAAATGAGATACGCGTTAAGGCCCTTTTGAAATTCATAATTATCTTCATAAATAAATCGAATTTCAACAAGTGAAGCACACCATTTTAAAGAGAATGAAGAAATCTACAAGGTGATGTTAATAACTCAATAACCCCCAAAATCGGGTTAAGGCCCTTTTGGCATAAGGCCGACGATTTACCCCTTCTCCTTCCTCTTCCTTCCCTTGTTTCACTCTTCGAGCGAGCAAAAGTTCAATACAATCCAAGTTGCCTTTTCTTCCAGCGGAGTGGAGTGGAAGATGCCCTGCGTTGTTCTTTGATGAGATGAGTGTTAGCAATCCTTCAAGATCAAGAACGTACACTAACGTTTCTGATCTGCCACTGTGGAGAAGGGAAATGTACGATAACTTGAACAATTTAAGTAAGACTTGACAAAGTAATGCTTGAGCACTTAGGACTTAATACGGAAGTCATACTTCATAATCAAAACAATTACGTTTAGAAAAAATATAACAATAATAAAATCACCTACTACTTGACAATGCCGACATTGCAACTACTATTTTAGTAACTAAGAATTGAAGAACTATGACTGGTGCAAATAGGGGAATCAACTAGGCATTGTAGTGTCGTAGTCGAGTGGTTTAAGCACTTGACTTGAAATTCAAAGGTCGTGGTTTCATCCCCTACACGGCACTAATGTCCTTTGGCAAGGCATTATTTTTCATTTGCTACAATCGACCCAACTAATGCTTGATGAACTACTACTTGGATGTCGACGTCTTCAGAAACTACTACTCCAAAAGCTAAGACTTGAGCAAGTACTGATTTAGAAACTAAGACTTGAAAGAACAAGACCTGGGCAATTAGGGGAGTCAACTTAACATTGAGCAACTACTAAATTTTAGAGACAAGAACTTGAGCAACTACTACTACTTGAGCAACAACTGAACTACTACAACTGTATTGACTACTACTTATCAACAAATTATTGCTCGACTACTACTTTATTGACTACTACTACCTAAACTAGGATTTAGACAACTACTACTTGAGGGAAAAGGACTTGAAAACTAAAAAAATAAACAATAATACTAAATATGTAACACTTTGGAGACGACGGGCTTCTACAGAAGCCGAGATGTATCCCTAATTTATTGACAAAGTTTTCCAACTTATTATTAGATATTATGTGCTAAAGTTCTTTGAAGTATTATTTAGATATATTCATTCATCTCATCTATTAAACAAAATAATAAAGTTACGTGGAAAAACTCGAGAAAAAGGTGATATCATTTCAACTTTACCCTAAGTTAGTGTTCGGATCGAAATAACCGTACAGCTGGACACGGACGCGTACGTGCGCGTCCGTTCTACATTCTTGCCTTGATTCAAGGCTTTGGATTATTGTGGTTTTGTTGGTGAAGATGATTACATGGCGATTTGCCATAGACGATTGGATAATTTTGCTGGTCAATATGAGAGGGCGTTTTTTCCCACATTTCGATAGATATATTGTAGTTATTCATATAATAATATTATTAGGCCTATAGTAGTCCTATTCATAAAGACCTATTCCTTTTTAAATTAAATTTGCGATTCGCCGTGTTTCACTTGGCTACAAATAACCGACCTTACTCTAAACTGTGTAAGTATAAAAGTATGCTTCGATAAAAGGAGTTGGTCATTCTTCTCCCCTATGATTACCAGTGCCTTTTCATTTCATCAACTTGACCAATCTAGCGAATCATTCATGTATGGACCTCCTCTTTTATGAAACGCTTATCTCAGCTTATCTCAGGACCCTACCCTTAGAGGAACAAACGAATGTGAAGAAGTATCTACTCTGGAAGATTACTGTTTTGAAAGAAGAGGATGTAGGATAATTGGCCGAGCTTTAGCAGAAGACAATCATTGTCATTGACAATAGGGGAATGAACGGAGGTATCGACCGATCTGCGCGTGCGGAGGTGCTTGCGCATTTTGTATTGTGAGTGTATTGAAAAGGAAAGACGTAAAGCTTCAGCAAAATAAGACGGCAATTTCCCTCAAAAATAACAGACCTTATTTTTCGTATTGAAGAACAAAACTAATATTTTTAGAAAGAAAAAAGTCTGATCTTTCATTTTTATATTAACTAAAAATCGCGAAAATGACTAAATGAGGCGCAATGCTAGGCGAAAGTAGAAAGCACCGCCAAATTTTCCATTACTAGCGATGTAACCGAAATCGCTCCGTCACAGGGGAAACAATCCCTGTGCGCGGGCTCGCTCTCAAAGGGTTAAAGAACTAAGACTCGGGCAAAAAGGGGAGATAATATGTGTGCAACAATGACTTTAGACACAAGAACTTGAGCAACCCTACTTCTTGAGCAACAGGGACTTGAGTATCAACTACTTCAGCAGCTAGGATTTGATTTGAGCAATTATTAATCGGGAAGCCAGGAATTTAGCGATTATGAAGGGTTAATAGTAGAGGATACTGGGCCTCCAAGGGTTTATTGCTTTCATTGAAGCTACGTAGTTTAATATCGGGATGTACTTTCATCTGAGTGAAGGTAAACAAAGACAAAATCAACCAGGGCTTACCCCAATGATGCAACGTGAACGAGGGAATCTCCGTCATTATCCCTCTTCATGGGATCTGCTCCGTGCGCTATTAGTTTTTCAACACAGGACTGGTGGCTGTACTCAACTGCTAAGAGTACCGGGGTTGAATTATGGTTTGACTGGCGAGGAAATAAAAACACAACATGGAGACAACTAATCATTATTACAATTACTGCAACCACAAAACATAGAAAAAATGTCACTGTAGACCAAGGTCCTTTCTAGATAGGTTATACAAAGTACATGCCTTATCCCAATGAAACAAAAATACAAGACCTCTATACAGTGTCTTCCGGAAAAATGAAACCGAGAATTGTCGATGTTGTATCATAACTTATTCCCAATCATATTTAATAATTGCACATATTTATAAAGATTACATTCTCTTCTTGGAATTGATGCAAATTATTTAATGAATGATTGATCAAAAACAGTTTGAAGAAAGGGTACTTAAAATCATTTGGTGAACGGTATCTAATTTCAAAGAGAAAATCATAATTCTAAAAAGTCATGTTCTGCCCTTTGACATGGCACCTCAATCATGAAAATTAAGAAAGGAATAACAAAGTTATGTTTGTTTAAAGAAATGCTTGCATATCCATTATTTTATTAAACGAACCCGTTCCACCGACTGCCTGACCTAACAACAAACAAAGAAGACGAAATATTTCATGCATGGCTGATCGTCAACGAAACGGAGTTAAGTATTTTGTCAACCCTCTTTGTGAAACCATAGACGTGGTGGGGAATGCCATAAAGGTATGTCATACAGCAATATTAAATTAAACCCTTTCAGATTACAATTTGAATAGCTAATTGTAATTGTACCGGCTCGGAACCCTTGGTTGTCTGAACTTTTTTGTCAGGATTTGGAGGAATGCTCCACAGTGTTACAACAAGATGCAGACAGGTTTTTCCGTCATTTGTTTGGATGTCCAAATCTGCTTTGGCCTCGATCAAGGCATCAATAACGGGGGGAAATCCACCTTCCACGGCCAGATACAGTGGCGTTCTCCCCTGACAGTCTCGTTCGTCTATGAGAGAGCAGCTCTGCAGTCGGTTCAGTTACATGAATAAGAAAAAATACGACAAATGTAAACAATGTAGATGTGGCTCAACCCAAGACATCAGAGTACAAGATGATAATCTGAAAAGTTTAAATATTATAAAAGAGAATAATATATACACTACCTTCATTTTGTGTAGACCTAAACAGTGGATTATCTATGGATTAATGGTGACCGGTAAAACACTGCAACTGCGCCCCTACCCCATCTTGTTTTTTCTAGGCAACTTCGCTCGAAACGGATTTACTTCACCTTCGCATATTTATGTTTCAACTGGATACAACAGATTTCCCATGAATATTATAGAGATCTCGACTGCTAGGAGAGAACTGGCTGTTTTTCTACGCTCAAGGGAAATTTGCCAGTGACTGCTATCACCCCGGGTGGGTGGCGCGTCGAGGGGTGATAGCAGCGGAGGCAAATTTCCCAAGAGCCAGTATAGAAACAGCCAGTCCTCGAGTATTAAAGCAGTCGATATCCCTTTTATATGCCGAATTTATACACAAATCTACCTATAATCCTTACCTTATCATTTGATCGAGTAAAGATTGGTTAAAACATCACGGAAAATCTGATAAACTGTTTTATTATCACCGTCCTAAAAAAAGACTGAAATTTTCGATCAGTTGGGAATCGCAAACAAAAATCACTGTATGATGCGCAAAAAAAAAAAACATTTTAACACGTAAACCAATTGGTATCGCAGCAAGATTTTAATAATTTTCCCGGTAACTGGAATTTTGCCGGGATTTTACTTTTGGACTATTAAATGGTTTTGGGCATTTTTCGTTTCTTTACGGGAATGGCTAAAATCACGAGTGCAATTTTGACCAATCAGATGGCTGGAATCCTTAAGGAAGGTATATAATTAGTATTGTATCCCGCATACGAAGAATCTAGCAATCTGATTGGTCTAAACGAAGTCACATGATCAATAATAGATTTACCATCACTTCATGGCCGTGAGCTAGAGGTTTGCAATAGGGTTCCCTGCGATAGTACTTTTTCACAGTACTTTTTGTGCTGCTGCCCCACTTGCCCTTTTAATAAGCATAGCAAAATTAGGTTACGCGAAATGTCAGTGTTTTTGTAGGGCACATGAGCAATGATAGATTTACCATCACTTCATGGCCGTGAGCCAGGGGTTTGCAAAAGGGCTCCCTGCGATAGTACTTTTGTACAGTAGTGTTTTACATGTGGTGGCACGATAGCTCAGTTGGTAGAGCAGTGGTATCGTAATCCGGTGACCCGGGTTCAAAACCAAGTCGATGCGATAGTGCCCTTTGGTATTACATTACTCCTCATTACCAGGTCCCTCGGAGAGAACCTAAAGCGTCGGCCGTCTGATTGCTTATTAACAAGCATTTACGCTTTCTTAGCAGTCAGGTATTAACCAACACCACCCCTTATTTGTAACCGTTATAACATTAGCTTTTTGAAGGCTATATCATATAATGAAACATGAAATTACGAGATCCTGTAGCAACATATGCAAATGAACTAGGTGACCAAAACCTTATCTTTAATGTAATTTATTAATGAAATTAATGTGCATATAATTCTAATCAGGATGACCGTTGACACACTTTTACTTCTCTTACCCATTTGTGTGTATTTGTAATCTTTTTTTTTTTTTTTTTTTTTTTTTGGGGGGGGGGGGGGGGGGGGGGGCTCCGGTCCTCTGTTTTGCGTTTTATTGCACCTCTTCCACGTGACGCCCATGGTGTGTGTCCCTATGCCCCATTATCAACAACACATTGAACGGTAAGTTTAAAGACATGATACATCCATGTTTGAAAACATTATTCATCCAATTTCGGTTATTTATTTTAAGTTACATTTCGTCCTGTCGAAATGGTATTAGACGATACAATTGTTTGTGCAACACTTTCTACATCAAGAAAAGAACATCTTGATTGGTTTCAACTGAATGAAAATTTTATATTTACATCTTCTCCCTCTTCTTGTCTCGTATCTTGAGCAAGCAAAAGTTCAACGCAGTCAATGTTGCCCTTTTTTGCAGCGGAGTGGAGTGGTATCTGCCCTATGTTGTTCTTTGATGAGATGAGTTCTGACATTCCTTCAAGACCAAGTACGAACTTCAAAATGTCCAAACTGCCTCTGTAGAGAAAGGGAAAATTATGAGGATTTGAACAACTTGATGAACTAATATCAGTCGATGGACTAATACTTTAGCATATAGGACTTGAGCAAGTGGTATCTACTTTAAGCAACTACTGCTAACGGACCAAAGACTTGATATAATTCTACGTGAGCAACTAGGACTTGGCAACTACTAGTTTAGAAATTAAGACTTGGAGAACTACGACTGGCACAGTCAGGGTATTCAACAAGGAATTTGGCATAAACTTTTTGAGGAACTAAGATTGAACAACTGCTGCGTGACCTACTGAGATTTCGACAACCAGGATATAAAAAATACTACGTGAGACAACTACTACTACAGCAACTAACAAGTACTACATATATATATATATATATATTGAAAAAATTATTACTGATGCACTACAATTGACCGATTACTACTTTATCTAATCATTCTAAATAAACAATTACTTGAGCAACATTTGTTTGATCAAATAGAAATTGACCTACTTCTATTTTGGGAACGAAGACATCAGGAACTACTACTTAAGGAGCTGGGACTCGAACAAGTACTTTACAAAAAAACTAAGACTTCGGTTATAACTTGTTAAGCAATAGTAGAGTAGACAGACGTGGTGGTGGTGTTGCCCTTTATGTTCCGTCTGGGCTCGATTATCGAGTATGTCATAACCTAATGGTATGACTGAATATTTAGAAGCTTTATTTTTTGAAGTCTTTATTTCTGGTAAAAATAATATCGTAATTGGAGTCGTGTACAGACTTCCCAATGGCATTTTGAACATTTTTTTGGACGAAATGCAGAGGGTTTTGGAAAGCCAGTCACTTAATGGTAAATCCTTATTTTTGGTTGGAGATTATAATATAAACCTTTAACAGCACAATGTTGATGCTCATGTTGATGATTTACTGAATTTGATGTTGTCGTTTTCTTTGTTGCCCTTGATAACAAAACCAACAAGAGTAACTGAAACCTCTGCTACTCTAATTGACAATATCTTAAGTAACTTACAACATTTTCCCTTATCTACTATTGTTGTGTCGGACTTGTCTAACCATTTTCCTGTGTATACTATAATTCCTTTGGAAAAAAACCCGTAGTCACCCATAAGAACATTTATGTTAGAAGAAACACCCCAGAAAATATTAATCAGTTTAGAGAGGCATTATTGGCAACAAACTGGAGTGATGTTCTTTTGAATCAGTGTGATGAGTGCCTTCGATATTTTCATGAATAGGTTTTTTTATCGTTGTATGATGCTAATATTCCAGTAGTAAAGAGTAAAAACAACCGTAGAAGAACTCCACGTATGCCGTGGGCCACCAATGCTATGCTGAAATCAATAAATAACAACATTGAGCTGTTTTATAAGTATAAGAAAGCAAGGACGGAAGCTCTAAAAAGGAAATATTCCGTTTACATAAATACCCCTGACTTCTGTGATGCGTGCAGCCAAAAAACAATACTATTTAGCACAGTTTCAAGCAACTTACAATAGTATCAAGGGCACGTGGAAGGTGATCAGAAATGTATTTCAAAAAGCATCTAAAGTAACAAGTATAATACAAATGAATAAAGATGACCAAATGGTTGAAGATAAAAATATTATAGTGGAAAAGTTTAATGAATATGTTTGTAATAGTGGTCCGAATCTGAAAAAAATATTCCAAACAGTCAAACTGATTTTCATGATTACTTAGGAGAACCTTACATGCAAAGTTTATTTCTGGTGCCCACAAATGACGAAAAATTGCTTGGTATTGTTAAAGCCCTCGAGAACAAGAAAAAGTCCTGGGTATGATCATATTGGGAACGAACTTATTAAGCAAGTTATTGTCGGTATCGTTCAACCACTAGTTCATATTTTTAATTTGTCTATGTCAAGCGGAGTTGTACCGATAAACATGAAGATCTCAAAAGTTGTACCAATTTTTAAAAAGGTGACTCTCAATTACTGACAAATTATCGTCCGATTTCTTTGTTAACCTGTTTTTCAAAAATTCTGAAAAAAAAATATTTATGTAAGAACTATAACATTTTAAAACAAAACATGTGTCTTCAGTAATTATCAGTTTGGTTTTCGGGAGAAGCATACAACAACAAATGCAATTGTACACATTATAGATAAACTTGCTTCTGCCTTAGATAGTCGCTTACACACCATAGGTATATTTTTAGACTTTTCAAGGCCTTTGATACTGTAGACCATGAGATTCTCTTAAGTACATTATGTCATTATGGTGTCAGGGGAGTCGCCTTGGATTGGTTTAGAAGTTATCTTACTGATAGAAAGCAATATGTGTCCTTAAATGGAATTGACTCTAGTCCCCAAAAAGTAACATGTGGTGTTCCGCAGGGATCCATTTTGGGACCACTTTTATTCATCTTGTATATTATTGATTTTCAACGCTCATCAAGTGTATTTAATTCATATTTTTTGCTGATGAATCAAGTGTATTTTTTTCTCATAAATGTCCACAAACATTGTTGAAAACTGTTAATGAAGAGTTTCGAAATGTAATGAAGTGGATTAATGCTAATAAGTTATCCTTGAATCTTCAGAAAACTAATTATATACTGTTCAGTAATTCAGTTAATAGTTTGCCAGGCGAAGTGTCATTTAATAATAACCCAATTGAGAGAGTAACTTCAACAACATTTCTTGGAATATACATAGACGAGAAACTGAATTGGAAAACTCATGTGGACAAATTAAGTAAAGTGGTGTAAAAAAATACTGGTGTTTTGTATAACTTGAGATCATGTATACCTCAAGAGGTATTGTTCATTTTGTACTCTACTCTTATTTATCATATATTAATTATGGTATGATGGCATGCTTGGGGCAAATCATCCAAAACTCAAATCCACAGGCTTTTTGTTGTGCAGAAGCGGGTTATTAGAATAATTTGTAACGCGAATTATCGTGCACATACAAATCTACTTTATTATGAAAACAGTATTCTAAAACTATATGATCTCCATTCAATGCAACTTAGAATGCTCATGTTTAGCATTCACTCTGGGGACCTCCCTCCTGCCCTTGCTCAAATCTTTAGAAGGGATAACCAAATTCACACCTATAATACTAGACAGGCTTTTGATCTCCATTTACCATATACAAGGACAACCTTCACTTTGAATACACTAATGTCCACTGGCCCCAGGTTCTGGAATTCACTTGATACTACTATAACAAATGCTTCAAGTATTTCAGTTTTTAAACGTAGACTTAAGTCATATTTTCTTCACAAGTATGTCGATGACACATGAACGTGTTATCAAGCTTTATTGATTGTGTACTGTAGCATATTTAACTCTACTCTTGATCTTTTTTTTCGTTAATTCTTGACTTTGACATAACCCCCTTTATCCCTTTTCTTTTTTCTTCTTCTTTCCCATCTGTACATATACCATATATTCCTACTTGACCTCTGCACTCAGAGAGCAATAACTCATTGATGTCTCGACTTGGTGTCAGCTTGGGTTTGTCCATATTAGATCGCCCTCTAATGGGTGGGTTGGTTTTTTGCACATATGTTACATATTTTCACACACACGGTGAGCTTGTTAGCTCACCCGGTGTGATGGGGATGTGCGCATCTTCGGGTATACTTGTTGTAGTCATCCATGCTGTGGTCGATGCATCGTTGGGTAGTTGTTCTCTGAGAGTATTTTGTAAATAGTTTTATATATTCCATATTTGTTGTTGTATTCATGAATAAGTTATCTTTGTCACATCATATGAGGGAGCCTTAACTTAACAAGCTCTGCTTCAAACAAGGTCTCCTCGTCTTCCTTTATTCTACATTGTACTGTTTTGATTATACTTTGTCACATGTGTTTGCTGGAAGACAAATAAACTTGATACTTGATACTTGAAGGCTTGAATAACCCAAACTTGAGCAATTATGGAAGTCAACTAGGCATTGAGCAACTACTAAGAAACGAGTACTTGAGCAAATACTAGTACTTGATTAAGTACTATACTTTAGAAAACAGGAACTTGAACAACTACTACTGCAGCAATTACTCATTACTCAATTTTCTTGAAAATGGCGAGTTTGGAGGGCAATTTTCTCAAATTTGATAAGTGCTAGGGTATATCATTTCGTATTTGACTGGAAAGGGTATATCTTCAAATATCTAAATCCAAAAAAAGGTTCGGGTTTAGGCAGAAACGAGGGAGATACGACCACAGAAAGAAAGCCAATTCCTAGAACTTAAGGGGGCGCCATTTATTTGTTTGAAGATTTTATTGGAGCGAGGAATTCAGCGTTGCTTTATGCAATTATGATATAAAGATACTGCAAGAAATTAAGATGAAATATAAATGGTATGATAAACTAATGACTACAACTTCCTTGACTACTACTTTATTAACTAATTCTTGTTTAACTACTAATTGATCAACTACTACTGCCTAAACTAGGATTTGGAGAAGAATAATGACTTGAAAACTAGACATGTAATCGTGTCACAACGATGTGCGTGGAAAGGCGCACGTGTTTCTACGATTGAAACGAATGAGATTCTTTCGGACTATCCAGATCAATTTGTAAGAATTATGTGGCTGCTGTGATAGTGGAGATAGGTAGGGCGGAAGTAAAGCCACCAAAACGTCCCGAAACGGACAAAATGGCCCCTGGACGGTCACGCATGAGGGATTCCGGAGAACGAAGAATACAGCGACCGTGAAGGGATGCCAAAGACTATGCCTACGAACTTTGAAGGGAATGTGAATAGGGGATGGGACCTACAAAGGGCTCGCAAGCACTGCCTGCAAAACCAACACGATTTGGTGCATGTGGTGACGCGTGATGCGGCATAAACGTCCGCACATACTAACAAAATCATGCAGAGTATAACAAGGCGTCTTAATTGGGTCCCTTGACGATTAAAATCGAAACAATGACGCAATGGCTAATACGTGTTATAATTGGGCGGAATCTCAGAATTCGTAAAGTGACCCTGTTTCAAATTCGATTTACTCAAAAATTTGGTATCATTCGAAAGGGCAATTTATTGCAGTCATTTTTACACCAGTGTAATCTGCGTGCAATGTATTGTACGCATTTACTGTCTTGTACGCAATGCATAGTAAAATCATATTTTGTCACCCTGTCACCCTGTCCTTACCCTAATGATGCAACGTGGACGAGGGAATCCCCGTCATTATCCCTTTTTGTGGGATCTGCTCCATGCAATATCAGCTCTTCAACACATGATTGGTGGCCGTACTCGGCTGCTAAGAGTAACGGGGTTGAATTATTGGTCGACTGGTGAGAGAATAAAGGCAAAAGTCGCAATCACAAATTGCCGCGTTCGAAGCTGCATGCTATAGTAAACTTGTCTGCCATACGGCAACCAAAAAACACAGACAAAATGGCACGGTAGATAGAGGTTTCTTCTAGATTAGTTCTAAAGCGATTAGTATAATATATGGCCATTTACAGAGAGATGGTCACTAGTACAGTTTCGACCCATTACAATCGTACTCGAATAATACAAACATGCATAACATAAACACACAGTAATTGAAAGCACTCGATTCGAATTTGTCATTTACGGTTTGAGCTGAGGCTTTCTCATTATAGCTAAATTTGAATTTTAGACTTAGCTTAATATGATATTGTTTGGATTGCTTACAGAATAGCAGAGTTGTTATTACGATATTCTTATGTTTGACGTAGCGTCTTTGTAAAGTGGTTACTTGATGAATACGTTGGGTACGTTAACAAATTTGTTGAATTAATTAAAACGGTTTTATTTATAGCATTAGACTTCTCTTCGTCATCATTTTGGCCTCATTTAATGCCAACGCGTGGACTTGATATCGCATTATTGGTATAAATATGTGTACTGTCCTGTTTTGTTACCTTATCCAATGAATAACAATAATATTAATTTCAATACCTACGTGTATACTCTTCAAAATACTACTACTACTACTACTACTAATAATAATAATATTTCAAAGTCGACTCCGAATTGTATTAAGTTAAACCGACATTTAAATTCTTTTTGCCAAATTAATCGTGAGCCCGGCAACCACTGAGCAGCGCCAGATCGACGTTGCTTTATCCCTTATTGTTGAACGCCAAACAAGGTAGCAGCAACTGCCGTCTTTTAACGTCTTTTGGTATGACGCCGCCGGGTTTCGAACCACGACCTCCCGGTTGTGTGGCGGACGCTCTACTGACTGAGCCAACACACCTATATGGTCAGGTTTAAGTAATAAAGCATTGTGATGTTGGGTACCGTAATTGATTGAGGTTGATTTGTTCAATGTCTTTGCGATTGGGTTAATTAGACCAAATCACATTTGTCGCATTTATGAAAATTAGACTCAGACGAATAAATTCATACTGACAAATAAATTGGGCCTTGTTCAGATATAACGCAGCTAAAACCTGGCAATTTAAATGTCAATGGTGACTAGAACTGCAATAAGCTTTCTGTATCTTATAACAGCTTAATGTATACGCCCAGGACCTTTGTTTCGCACTGTTGCTTTTAATTTAGACGTACAAATAAAAACGCAGCGGTTTACCGCATCATATCTGATCAAACCTTTGAAAAGTCTTACTTTGACATCAACATCAGCTCCTGCATTTATCAGAAGTTTGGTCGCGTTGAGATCTCCTTTAGAGCAAGCATCGTGAAGTGTTCCTTTGTCTTCGTTGTTTAACGCATCAGGTTGAGCACCAAAGGCCAAGGGAACTTTCATAACTTCTTCGTTTTGCCTTGTAAAGAAAAAGATTAGTCATAGAGATGTGCAAAATAACGTGTAGGTTTTGTTATTCTATCTAATAATAGTTTACCAATGCAGTTACAGCAAATTAAAAAAATGTGTGAATAATTAGTCTTGAAAGGGTGAAAAGGAGAGCATAAAAGCGTGTCTACTAAATTGTATGGCCATTATAAGCTTAACCCTATTTAGCCCGGGCTATTTTGAAGCTGCATAGCCCAGGGGGGGGGGGGGGGGGGGGCTTCTAAAGCCCCCTCCCCCCCCCCCTATGATCTCGGCCGTGGAACGACCAATCGCCGCGAAAATGTGCATACATGTCAAATGAAGTGTATAGAATACTATGGTAATTTCAATTTTTTTTGAAAAATTCACTCATTTGCATAGTTATGGTACATATATTTGTTACACCATTTGAATAATAATACAACACAAACAAATTGAATAACCAGGGTTATTCCTTATGTTATCTATTGTTTGGATAATATCTTATGTATTTCTTTGTTTTTTAACTTATGTATTTTGTTGTTGTTGTTTTATTTCATTTCCAACTATAATTCAACTATTTTGACCCCAAAATAAACACCTAAACTATAAACAAGACCAAATGACCAATGTTTTATCTCTTTATGGAAAAATATGAAACGTTACTTTTGTATATATAATCTCACTTGATCGGTTTTAAATAGCACATTAAATAATTCGGATTGTTAGTAGTTACATAAACCTTTTTTTCCCTTAAAATATTGTGTGTAGCGTTGATGACTGGGGGTTGTTGTTCTAGGGGGCAGTTGTCTCGGGGTAGTTGTCCAGAGGCTAGTTGTCATGGGATTATTCGCGGTTTAAATAGCGCGGTTTAATTAGCCTAGGCAAGTCATCCTATTAAAGGGACTTGGTAACATTGTTTAGATGACATATAGTGGTGCTAAGGTAGTGACTTCAACGCTAGATGTACAATTAAAGATAATCTGAAAATTTGAGTGAAAACGGACCCTTATTAAATGTATAAATTGGGAAAAATCGATCTAGTCGATTCATTAATTCTCCCAACTATATTATTACAATTAATTACATTTTAGATGAATGTAAATCGTCACAAAGCAATAAAATGGCTCTACATTCCATTCCAGACATTAAAGTGTTGACAGATTTTTACAGTCTGTTTTATGTCTTTTTTCATGGTAAAAACGGTTGGGAAAATTCCAAAATGGTTCGGAGAATTTACTGTTAATCACTGTTACAGGGTGTCCTTCATTGACTTTTTGAAAGAAACAGATGTCTTTTCCCTTTATTATTTAAAACTTATCTACATGCACTTCTGGAAAATCATAGAAGTTTAACAAAACAATAACAATCAACTGAACTATAACAACTATCTAGACTAATCCTACAAGGTCAACAGTAGAAAAAATATGATAAGTAACATTTTATACAAAAATTAAGCAATTTGTTTTCATCAACCTTCAACAATGTTACCGAGTCACTGTAATTCATCAAAGCGGCTTGGAAAGAGGTCACACGGCCTTTTTAGCAATGTTTGCATATCTAATGGCCTTTGGCCTACATACTTCGATACCGAACTAGGGCTGTATTTTGATAACATGATGTACACTCATATTAAATTTCTTTCATACACGTCAAACATTACTAAAGTTAAGCTATGGTCACAACTAAAAAGAGTAGCCCGCTCGACGGCCAGGCAGGGAGATTTTAGCCAATTTCGCCCGTTAAATGATATAATTTTACCAACAAATCAAACAATTATGACAACGTTTATTTATGCATGTTTATCTATGCTGGTTCATATCGTTCTTATATTTAAGAACGATATGAATATAATGTGTTTATTTATGTTTGAAATTATTCAATAATTACATATACTTAGCGATGAGGAAATAATTCTAACCTGGTGCGTGAAGTAAGAAATACTTCATCAGCTCCGACTGATGCATCTTGAAGAGGAATGTCGACATATTGCATCCATAAACCACTTAATTGAATACTATTAAAAATCCTGTTCAGCTCGGTCAAGCTTCCGCCTGTTTTGTTTTTCCACATGGAAAGACACTCTTCTGTCGCTCGTTTAGAGTCACTACCGTGCTGCTTCAGAATAATTGATGCCATGTTGTACCTAATACCAAGTCTGGAGGTTAGTTCATGGTATTTATCATGAGGGATGCGGGCTGCGAGATTAGTAAGTTGTGCATCTGATACCGTGTCACTATACAACAAGGAGTTAAACAATACGGACACGATATGTAAAGTATTTCTCAACTCATCGTGAGTTTTCTCCGAGTCATATCGTCACAATTTCCATGAGCAGGTCTTTATTAATTTAGGTAGAAGTATTCTGATAATTTCATTTCTTAAGCTAGAACTAGGAGCTTGATTTGTCATAGGAAACATATTCAATTTATATTTAAATTCAGTTTTAGGTAGACAACATTATGTGAACTCTCAAGCCCTTTGGAGCATTCAGTCTCCACGAATTTAGAATATCTAAAGTTTTCTCGCTGAAACTGTGATCCTCTCTTCGAACATTGAAAGCCTGGTAAAGCATTTATTTGTTCATGAGGGAAACGTATAAATCTAAAAGCCAGCATTTACAGACTGGTGAGTTTGTGCATGGTTGATATGAGGGTTCGGTCTAAAAATGACAGAAGCGTAAATATGTCAGACATTGAAATGTCAGAGGCAAAAATGTATAAGAATTAAGCATGTAAATGGTAAAAATGTAAAAGGTAAGGGAGAACTCTACACAATTAATTGACGTGATCACATTTTGCTTTTATCGTACCTTCTCCTCAATCATGTATATCAATTTGTTCAGATTTATGAATGCCATCAAATATTTATGAGCCTATACACTTCATGCGTGGTTGAGAATATATTGCAGTGACCGAGGCGCGGTTTAATTAGCCTAGGCAAGCCATCATATTAATTAATCAAAGCGACTTGGAGAGAGGTCACACCCAATACGACTTTGACTAATCTTGCTTTGCCTCACTTTTTTTATGAAGGCAACAAAAAAGGAAGGAATACTGACTGGGATCGAACCAACTACCTTACCAGTTGAGCCAATGACGGGCTGATGAAAGATCGGTTTGCATTATTATTATAACCCTAACCCTAAAAAAAAGTCAACGCAAAGCGTAGCATCCCCTCGACGGGTACAAACGACCTTTGACCTACATACTCTGATATCAAACCTAGGCTGTATTTTGTACCCTCATATTAAATGTCATTAATACCCGTCAAACATTACTAAAGTTAAGCTATAGTCACAACTCAAAAAAAGTAGCCTGCTCGGCGGCCGGGCAGGAAGTTTTTAGCCAATTTCGCCCGGGCACAAAGCGGCGGCCATCCGGGCACTGCTTGTTTTTAGGGCATCGCTTGGTCGCCGCTGAAAGATCTATGATTATATTATACAATTCTCTAATCTTATCACATGTGTTATATTGTAATATTGTATGGGGTAATTGTAGTTTAACAAGAATTAATTCCTTATTTTTGCTTCAAAGGAGAGCGATTCGCATAATTACTAACTCAAATTATATATCACACACGGAACCTTTATTTCATCGTTTAAAAAAAATTAAAAATACAAGATATTCACATTTTTCAGACAAGCATTCTCATGTATAAATATTCTCATAATCAACTACCATCCTTATTTCACAACATTTACAGTTTAAACTCAAACATTCACACATATCCCACCCGTTGTTCAACAAATTATCACTTAGAAAATCCTAAAATAATTTTAACCCAAAAGTCATCATGGACCAGATGTTTGAAACTCCTTACCAAATTCAATAAGGCATTGTTCATCTCTCTATTCTTTTAAAGCATCTCTTAAAAAATCTCTTATATCGCAGTACCTACATAATTGATTTCAACTTGCAGTAGGCAATTATCATACATATCTCAAATATTGGTCACATTACTTGCAACTCATGTTTGCAAATTTCATATTCTATTTCGTATTCTTGGTTTCCTTTATTGGAAAGGCTACATTTTGTTTCCACTCCCCCATCCAACAGAGAGTTACGTGTACATACACTATTCGATACACATACCAACACGCACGCTTGCGCGTATATTCACACACACACACACATACACACACACACACGCGTACACCCACACACACACACACACGCTTACACACACAGCACACTCGCACAGCACACTCACAAAATCGTACACAAAGAACGTTTAAACACTTTATCATTTTAAGTTTTACCTTAAGATTATTATTTTTTTCTTTTTGAGGCCGCCATCTAGTCAAGCTTCGCTTATAATTGCGGTCTCCTGCACTTTTTTCAACTGATAGTTTGGATAATACTTTAAATTCATAATAATATGTTATATAAATATTGAGTTTCGTTATTATATGTACATATGTTAACATTGTTATCATTGTATGTATATTTTGTATTATACCTTACGTTTATATTTTCTTTGATATTTTGTTATTATAATTGGAAAAATGCAGAAATCAAAATCAAAAAATCAAATCAAATGATATCTTAGATCCTATTTTTTTTTGGGGGCCATTTTGGGGGAGACTAGCTGTATTAACGCGTACTCATATGCGCGCAATGTATTGTTAAATTTCTAAGAAATATAAATTCCGTACTTTGATTTGATACATGCCTCAGTTGGCAATTGAATTCGATTTGATACATGCGTCTTTTGGCAATTGAATTTGATTCAATACACGTGGCATATTAAGTCAAACTTCACAAAGATGGAATGAATACAGAGCGAGAGGGGTGGGTGAAAGCTCCTCCCCAGGAGGATACATGTACGTCAAGCAAAAAGATTTGGCAGATGGGTACGAGGGCTTTGAATGTGAGCTACGAATATAAATATAATTATTGCTAACATTTTTATACACAACCCCTGTACGAAACAAATCTATTCCGTAATAAATAACTAAGAAAATGAAAGTTCATGACATTTTCTCTAAATAGCAATTTGAAGAGGAGCTCGCATTAAACGTCACAGTTTTGCAAATTCCCTGTGTGTGATTGTGTTTCGAGGGTGGGGGGTAATTGTTCTCGGGGGGGGGGGGGGTAATTCTCCGGGGGTAATTTTGCGGGGGGGGGGGGGGGGTAATTGTCCTTGGGGGGTAATTGTCCTCGGGGGCTAATTCTCCGGGGGGTAATTGTCCTCGGGGGGTAATTCTCCGGGGTGTAAATTTCCAGGGGGTAATTGTCCTTTGGGGTTGTTTTCCGGGGTGTAATTTTCCGGGGGGGGGGGGGGGTGATTGCCCAGGGGGTAATTGTCCTGATACGATATAAAATACTTATCTGAGAACGATTTCGGAAACAATGCTTACCTGACTTTAGAAGTAGAAACTTCACTGACTGCTGCTGCTGATGCATCTTGAGGAGGATTGCTGACTGATATGGATGCTGACGGACTCGGGGATGTGGAATCTTTTTTTCCTGGTGATATTTCATTTTTTTCTATTTTATGAGTCGAAAGTTGTGTTAACTTTGTAAGACTTTGTATGCAATACGTTTATGTTATTGGTTGTATAATCCCGATGCATCATAATTTAAATTACGATTAATTGATTAATTTCAGCAAACTCCTTACATCTCCATTATTTTTATTATTTATTTTATTTTTTTTTTAAAGGAAGGGAAATATTAATACAACAACAACCAGATCCAGCAAAATGTACAGAGTAGGCCGGTGAGTTATTTATCTTAAAGCGGAAATTCCAAGGTTTGTTTAATGTTCAATATTTGCCCTTGGCACTCATAATATCCGTCAAAGACAAAGAGTTTTCACTCTTCTAACAGAAGGTGGAGCTTAGATTAAAACTTGATCGATGGGACAAAAAAAAATCAACTTCTTTCACCAAGATTTGCAGTTGAAAGTAATTATCAGTGTTAGTTAGTTTGGATAAAACAGACACATGGGATCCCGAAGTCAAGATTAACGTCTCTATCTCATCCGTCAGTGGCAACGAACATTTCTTGAATTCACCTCTCCAGTGATTAGCCTTACATAAAACTGTTCACTTCTTTGCATTTGGGTAAGCCTGAATCTGATGACCGGGGTAATAATATATCTGTAAAGCGCTTAGGTACATCGTTTGATCGGTGTATTGAGCGCTATATAAAAAACCGGATTATTATTATTATTATATCGAATCAAGAACAAAAATTAACATGGATATTGTAGTTACGGTTGCGGCTCATAATCAAAGTGAAACATAACGCCTCCTTTATTAGATTAAGATTTAAAGATATCCGAAGTTATCTTAAAACCCACCTAAATTAGCCAAAAAATGTGGTCTGAACTTTATATCCATCTGAAGCTTTGATTGGCACACTTTTAGCTCCACCAGCAGGTCATCTGCTTTTCCATTAAAATCCAAGTGGAAGTAGATAGTATGCCTCGTCTTTTTGATGAACCTTCTATGGAGAGTCTCCGATTGGATCTAATTAAGCAAGAATATTAACAAAATTGGAGGGAAGAGATGATTCAAATAATATTTAAATATATTTGTAGGAAATGATGAACATGTATAAATGACATTACCTGCACTTACATATAGAAAAAAGGCACTTGTACTACAACGGGTAGGATCATAGTTAATTTACAAATGGAGTTACAGCTATTTCCATTCTTTAACGTAAATTTGGAGGTACACACCAAGCGTGATAGATATTTGCCTTCCTTGCAGGTGGAGAAAACAATCAAATAGCACAAGTGAGCACAATTATTTTTGTTGGCCCTCAAAAATTTGAAAATTTTCACCCTCCCCCCCCCCCCCTTGAGCGCCAGGGGGGGGGGCATCTCCAAAAAAAAAAGGTTAAATTAATGTTAACAAATGTAAAACAATACCCCCCCCCCCCCCTGGATCCGCCACTGGCTCCGCCTGCTGTCTGGGTAAAATCTCACTTTACTCGGGAAATACATATTTTGCTATTGTTATATGACGTAGCAT